CTGAACAAGCTACAACTTGACAAACGTGCAGGATATTGCTGAACAATGCTGCCTGTTCCTGTCAGGAGGGAAGAGCTTTATTCCCAGCACCATTCAGGGGGAATTGATTTTCATCACAATGATGCAAATCACAGATTTCAGTCGTTATTTGAATAATCGATTGTCATCTTTTTACCTTTGTGGCGCTTTTGGGTTATTCCCATAAAGTTGATTCCCTTAATGCATTGATTTATGTTGAATTACTTTATTCCTACACATTTTTCCCCTCGAAAAGATACATCTATCTATAGCTATAAAAACAAATACACAGCCTGGAAGTCCCAGATATTTAGCTTTCCTTTTCTTTCTGCAAAGGATTGCTTTATTAGAGAGATTATTCTATGCTTACAGCTTCTGACATTTTTTGTGACATTTTTACGCAGAACAGAATTTAAAATCCATAAATAAGCCTATTGCCTCATTATTCATAAAATTAACTGCTATAAATTTCTCTGCACACAAAATAAACTTCATCAGAATACTTGTTCTTTTTAACTATTATTAACTAATTAAAAAAAAAAAAAAAAAAAGCTACCTGTAGAGCTGATCAGCAGAACTAAATAAAACAGCAAAAAAAATATTCTCCCTGAACAATTCTTTCTGTCAAAACGTGGTTTAAACAAATTCTGGCTCCAGTTAACTGCAGTCCTCTGGTGGTTTGAATGCTTTTAAAGCTTCATTAGAAAACAGACATTGTGAGAATATTTGTATCCAAATGTCTGCAGCACACTATAGCGAATTCAGTCCTTAGCATGGATGAACAATTTCGAATATAATCTAGGAAAACCAGACATATTTTAAAATAACATTTGAATTTAAGTAAAACCTATTCACTTATGCATATTCAGCACCCGAAGCTGCAGTAAAAACAGACTGTCTCTCCTTACTCCTTCAGATACATCAGTGTGACTCGTGCTTACATTTACTTCACAAAGGCAGTTTTAAGACCGAAATTTTCATATACCCATCACTGTTTGTAGTTTTTGTCCTGTTTAATAAATAGCCTCGATCTCATATTTCCCAAGGAGAAAATATTTGCGTTGGAATCTTTTTTAAAAGAGTTTTGACTGCATAAACTATCAATTATTTCCCCACCGAGCAAGGCAGGTTCACAGCACAGAGTCAGAAGGAAGAGAAAGGAGGGAGAATGTTTTTGTGGATTGTTATCTATAGACCAAATGGAAAAATCTTCAGCCATTTTGCTCCTTCAAGGTACATCAAAGGATCTCCTATTTAAGGTGTGAAAATGTCAGCTACATTCTTCACCTCTGGAAATGAACAGAGCTCTGAATGCGATTTATGTCCCACCCTTGCACTTTTCTCTTTTAGGGGCTGATACTCTTCTTTTCAACTTCCCTCCAGCTAATGCCATTTAATACTCTCAGAACCAACGGGGCTAAATTCAAATTTTCTGCTCCTTAGAGGCTGTTGTTATGCACCACTGCACATTCCAATTGCAAATACACACGAGTGCTCCCGTGTATTGTAAGTTATTTTTTTACACACAAATTCTGCTAAATTGTAAGTTAGGAAGGCACCACTTGAATTCTCTCAGGTCTTTAGAAAGCTTTCAGATGTACCACGAGTAATAACATGTAATGAATATGGACTGATATTTCCTTTCTGTAGTTACACCGAGATGGCAATTTGCATTTT